TTTTTCCTCGATTTTCTGTTTTGCCATTTTGTGTCTTGAAATGAAACATTAAATGATTTATAAAAACTTGAAAAGCCTTTCTGTTAAGGCTTTTTACATAGATTTCTCAAATATGCGTTGGTCAAAATTGTAGCCATTGTTTTATTTGATGCATTTTGCAACTTCAGTTTGCCCAGATAACAGCTATAAATCTCCTTTAATGCCTAATACGCTTAGAAGACACCCAGAAAGAGATTTAAGAGAATATTTCTATACAGAACGTCAATATATCCTTCAAGTTCAAGTGCATATTGCTCATTTTCTATAGGATTATTAAAAAAAGATTTTAGGTAGTGTTTTAGGTAGTGACAGATATTTATAGCCGGCAGCTAGCTCTCTGCAACTCTCACACGGTCTCCCACTGAAGCTAAGCAGGGTTGCGCCCGGTCAGTACCTGGATGGGAGACCACATGGGAAAGCAAGGCCACTGCCGAGAGTGGTGTTAGTGAGGCCAGCAGGGGGTGCCCAACCTGCGGTCTGTGTGGGTCCTAATGCCCCAGCATAGTGACAGGGACTCTATATTGCTTAGTGAGCGATTGACTCTCTGACTCTCTGTGTTCATTAAAATCCCAGGATGTCCTTCGAAAAGAAGTATGGGTTTAATCCTGTCATCCTGGCCGAATTTGCCCACTGGCCTATGTCCATCATGGCCTCCAAACCATCCTCATAACATAATTGGCTTCATCACTCTGTATCCTCCCCACCTATCAGCTGGCGTGTGGTGTGCGGTCTGGCGCATAATGGCTGCCGTCGCGTCATCCAGGTGGATGCTGCATACTGATGGTGGATGAGAAGATTCTCCCCAATGTATGTAAAGCGCTTTGAGTGCCCAGAAAAGTGCTATATAAATCTAATGAATTATTATAGTTATTATGTAATGTAAAATAAGAAAGTATGTATTTGTTTATTGTTGACTGGAAACTATTGTTTGGGTGGACAAGGTAATTCTGGCAGAGCAATACCTCCTAGTCCCCCCCCCTAGACCCGGCTTTGTTCCAGTCATCAATATCACATGGTTCTTTAGAAATAATTATCATAAGCTGATACCATAATGTTTTCTAGTTATTTTTGTGGTTGTTTATCAAGAATTATTTAGATAACATTTTTACATTTTTAAGTGTACATTTGATCTTAGTGTGTGTGTGTCTGTGTATGTGTGTGACTCAGTATCTGTAACAAATGCGAGTAGACAACAGTAGGGGATGCAGTCAGCCATACCTCCACTTTGAATTCATTGCTGATGTAGCGGCCATTGAGCTCAGAGCAGACAAGTTTAAACTTCCTGTCAAACAGAGCCTCTGTGTGCCAGTTCCTGTAGCGGATCAGATGCAGGACCTGTTCATAGTTGGCCATGGTGTTTACCCCTGTGGACAGATGCAAATTGTTACTACCTGTTCTTAAAGGTACAGTTCACCCAAAAAAGAACAATCTGTTATCATTCATTCCAAACCTATTTGAGTTTCTTTCATCTGTAGAACACAAAACAACATATTCTGACGTAAGCTGGACAATTAAACAGCCATTGACTTTTATAGTACGTTTTGTTCCTAGTATTTTTTTAGTTTAACACCAGAACGAAATTCATAAAAGAGTAAATAGAGTAATTTTATGGATGTAGATGGTGTTTTTTCCCCCCAACATTCTTCTGAATATCTTGTTTTGAATTTAACACCAGACGGAAATTCATTAAAGAGTAAATGGAGTATTTTTATATATGTCAATGGCATTCCCCCCCCCCCCCCCCCCCCCCCCCCCCCAACATTCATCTGAACTTCTTGTTTTGTGCTCAACACCAGAAAGAAACTCATAAAAGAGTAAATGGAGAATTGTTTTGTAGTAAACTATCTCTAAGTTTGTAGTACTGATATAGTATGGTACTGACTGTTGCCACTGACATCTAAACTTCTAGGAACAAATCTCCTAAAAACAATCTAACAGAAGTGCACAACCACACAGTATCAGTCTGTAGATGTAGAGGAGCACCTGTGATGACCATGCCCACGTTAGAGGAGCTCATCTCCAGAGCTCTCTGCTGAATCTGAGCCAGATCCACCTCCAGACTCTCATGATCTCCATTCAGATCCTCTCCCACCACAGTCACCTCACACGTGTCCAAGTTGTGCATGATCTCCTCAGACACCACCGTCTCTTGCACTGCCAAAAACAAAACACAATCATCAGTACGTTAGATCAGAGCCTCTCCATTTCATTAGTCTTGTTCAGAAAGAGTCCACCATGCAATTTGATGGCAAATATTGAGTGAGATTCTGTAGGAATTACTTACAATACACTTAAACTTATCGATGAACTGAGAGAAAACCTTTTCCTAAAGCATAAGCTACACATTTCAGCCTAGAATTCATTCTATGGACTGATGATGGCATCAGTTTTTCTAGCGCTTACTCTAATATGAAAGTTCACAATATTACTTTAAAAGCAGTTTAATCATCTGCATTTTCATTTAATATGTTGCTCCTCCTTCCTTGCTCTGCACAAATTTTATACTGATTTTAAAATATGTTATGATAGAATTTTTGGTTTAAGCTGGACATCCAGGCAGGTCTTAGCTGGGTTTAGATGGACAGCAGGGGGATTTCAGAGGGGTTTCAGTCTATCTAGTAAATCAAGTCAGTCTGCTTTCTGATGTGTCCCAAAATCCATCATATTAACCCATTTGGATGACAACACCAGTGTTTCTAGCACTTTTTAAATAATATACATCCAAGACATTACTTTAAGAAACAAGTGAATTTAATAATCTTGCATGAAGGACATAAAAATATAACTAAATTGAAAAGTTGAACTGTTATTTTAAGTTATTTCTTCTGTTGCTAATAGGAAATATTACTCATAGTCGATCTGTTTTTTTTTTGTTTTTGTTTTTTTTAAATGCCAGCATGTGTTATGTGGGAAAGGACAAACTTTTTTAGCCCTAAAATTGTGATTTTGTGTGAAATTGAAAGTGTTGCTTAACAGAGAACATTATTTTTAAAGAGTTCTATTAGATTCTGGATATTTTTAAACAATAGTTTTAATAACTGAATTTTAATAACTATTTATTTTGTCTTTCCCATAATGACAGTAAATAATATTTTACTAGTTATTATTTTACAAAATATTTTAATTTAAAGATTTAACTAGGTTATTTAGTTTAACTAGGCAACCTGGTTTGTTCTGTAGCCTGTAAATTTATATATTTAATTATTTTTTCATTCATTCATTCATATTATTTTCACCCTTAGTCCCTTTATTAATCTGGGGTCGCCACAGCGGAATGAACCGCCAACTTATCCAGCATATGTTTCACGCAGCGGATGCCCTTCCAGCTGCAACCCATCATTGGGAAACATCCAAACGCACTAATTCACACACACACACTATGGACAATTTAGCTTACCCAATTCACCTTTACTGCATGTCCTTTTTACTTGTGGGGGAAACCGGAACACCCAGAGGAAACCAATGCCAACGCAGGGAGAACATGCGAACTTCACACAGAAATGCCAACTGACCCAGCCGTGGCTCAAGCAGTGACCTTCTTGCTGTGAGGCGATTGTGCTACCCACTGCGCCACTGTAACGCCCTATTTAATTATTATAATGGCTTATAATATTAACCATAGCAGTCATTTCTCTGTTAAACAGCATTTGGGGAAAATAATACAAATTTCACTGGAGGGCTAATATTTTTGTCTTCAACTGCATATGTCTGTGTAAATTTGCCCTAATGGCTATTTTCTACTTTTAAATCAACACCCTGTTATGCGTTTTTTAATTTGCCGTCTCTGATTACTAAACAAATTAGACAGCATATGCAGAAAAAAAGTCACCACTCATCACTTTATTCCAGTCTACTTCGCCAACTAGTAACAGACTTTTCCTCTTTACTCGAACTTAAAGGTCCCTTGAAATTATTGTATCGGTCTGTTCATTTTAAACATATTGATACTCTAGTGTCCAATACAGTGACAAAATTCAAGATATAAACATCCAAAGCTTGTAGTTTGTCACTTTTGTATAAAATTGATCAACAATTTTTTTTTTCACTACACCTCAATATTTATGTTTCTCATTAAATCTTGACCAATCAGATGCTTTCTAGCATCTGACATTCCCCACCCCCTTCAAGATTTCTCTCATTTGCTTTTCATTTAATCTCAACCACTCTCATTGGCTGAGCTGTGATAAAAACTAAACACTATTGGCTATTTTTAAAGGGAAGGAGCTACTATAGGTCTCACCCTCTTTTCATTTTTCAGTTGAGGTTACATCAAACATTGAATTAAAAATGCACATTTCAAAGCACTACACTGGACATTTAAGTCTTTCTCTTGAACTCCAGCTCAATCTGTTTCCCATTACAACGTTCTCTCTGTCCTTGATTCTCCATTTCCTCCAGTATGTAAATCTGGAATTCCAGGCATACCTGTGGGATCATCCTCTCCTTCGGCTTCAGTCTCAGCCTCTGCCTCCACCTCCACCTCTCGGGTGATGGTGCTGACGATGCGCAGCTCTGGGAACAGCGTAACACCCTCCACGCTCTCAAATTCAGCTGCTCCACGTGCAAAATGATCGATTCCGCTCAGGCTGATCTTTGGCTCCTCTGGCTGGAGAACCATCACATAGCCTTCAGAGTCCGGCACAGAGATACAGGTCTCCTCATTGAAGCATCTAAAGAAGGAAAATCATGATGGATTCATTGGTATGCTTGATCTTAATAGTCATTTTTTACATTTTGGATGAAATGAAGTGATGTAAATTTACTTGACAGTGGTGGAGACACGGAGGTGGCGTATTCCTGGAGTTGGGAACTGTCTGGAGTTCAGGTAGGAGATGTGCTGCATGACCTTCTCAAAGCTCTCAATGTCATCTCCCTCCAGACTCAGTGATGACTGGTTAGGGTTAAACTCCACCTTGAAAGACACAGACAGAGAAACTTATAACCAAGCTGGACCACATGGTTTTTCATTGCTGACTTAAGCTGAACTGAAATTAAGCTGGAAATAATATTACATAAAATGTTTTTTTTTTGTTTAGGTATTTAAGCAAAAATAATGTTTATCAATAGTCAATTAATATACAGTTGAAGTCAGAATTATTAGCCCTCTAGTTACTACTTACTAGTTACTACAGCATCTCAATTTTTTTTTAAGTGTATGAGTTTATTATTAAGTATATTGATTGTTGAATATACTAATAAACTTTATCTCATTTTTAAAGTTAATTAATTTTAACTTAATACTCTTTATAGTTTGTATTAATTTTTAATTCATAAAAAATAAGGATACATATTTACATACACACACATTATATGTATTCTATAAACATACATAAACAATATTGCAAATGTCAGCTATTTGTATTTTTTTACAAAGTATAACTATTATCACTAAGATATTTATATTTAAGTTGAATAAAAAATATTTTTTTGTAAATTTATCTTTTTATTTTTGTTGTACTAGTCAGTCTTCTTTCCATAAGACTTATAATGTAGACTGTCAGAGCCCCTTTATATAAATGAAGTAGCAAATAACAAAGTAAAAAAAAACTATATTTCAGATTACATAACACATTCAGCATATCAGGCAGGCAGCAGAGCAACATTTATAAATATATACAAGTAAACTTTAATTATATAAAATTCTTTAATTGTATCCTTAACAAATTAAATGTAAAATAAGAAAAATGCTCTAAAAGTTTAACAAAAGGTATATATAATGAAGAAGTCAAAACGATTAGCCCTCTTCTAAATTTGTTTTATTCTTCGAATATTTCCCAAGTGATGTTTAACAGAGCAAGGAAATTTTCACAGTATTTCCTATAATATTTGTTCTTCTGGAGAAAGTCTTATTTGTTTTATTTTGACTCGAATAAAAGCAGTTTTTAATTATTAAAAATCATTTTTGGGGTCAATATTATTAGCCCCCTTAAGCAATATTTTTTCTTCATTGTCTGCAGAACAAACCACTGTTATACAATAACATGCCTAACGACCATAACAGCCTAATTAACCTAGTTAAAATGTCACTTTAAGTTCAGTCCTAGTATCTTGAAAAATATCCAGTCAAAAATATTATTTACTGTCGTCATGGCAAAGATAAAAGAAATCAGATATTAAAAATGAGTTATTAAAACTATTATGTTTAGAAATGTGTTGAAAAAATCTTCTCTTCATTAAACAGAAATTGGGGAAAAATGTACTGAGGGGCTAATAATTCAAGAGGGCTATTAACTCTCACTTCAACTGCTTATTGTGTTTCAATCACCGTTCACAAGCACTCACCTTGACAGCAGAGGCCACTTCTTCTGGAAGCTGCACATCGAGCCCCTCCTTGCAGGTGTACAGGCAGTCGATCACCTTCTTGTTCTCCAGTTTTCCAGAGCGGATCATGAGTCCAGCCAGGTTTCCCCGGAAGAACTGAGTCATGCGGGCACTGCCACCTACACAAGCCCCGAGGAGGACAGAAGCAGTGAGATATTGAACGCCCGTGCACACACACACTCTCTTCTGAGCTCAAGCATGCTCTGTGACTGATGCTCATGCATGTTAGGAGTTCAGTGCTGGTGCTGCCGATGATGGATGACCTGCGCTTTCATGCAACTCTTGGTGGGAGGAAAAAAATAGCAAATGAATGGGAATGAACAAAAAGAAGCACAAAAAAAAAAAAAATAGGCAACACAATTTCACATATTTGCATTTTTCTAAATGTGGTTTTGAAGTACGTCTGGTTATGAATATTTGAGGAATGGGTGACCCAAAAAAGATTTTTTTTTCATCATTTTTTATTATGTCATGTGAAATTTAGCATGCTGTTGTTACTTGTATGGCACATAAAAGTGTTTTTGAAAAGCCTTGTTTTGACTTTTATAGAATGACAGGTAATAGCGAGCACATCTGTCAAGCTTCAAAAAGATAAATATTCACTAACAATGATCATACCAGTGTAAAATAGGACTGTTTATGTGGTCCAGGGACACAAAAGTGTCCTATATTACATAAAATGCTGGGATATTCAGAAAACTTATTTATAGTGCTGTTTAAAAGTTTGGAATTGGAAGTATTTATTTTTTATTTTATGTTTCGAAGTAGTTTTTTATGTTGATTAGTTTCCACCAAAGCTGCATTTATTTAATTAAAAATACAATATTGTGGTGTTGCAATTGAATATATATTATAATAATATAATAGCTGTTTTCTGTTGTAATGTAATTTATTCCTGTCATGGCAAAGCTATATTTTTCAGCTTTCAAAAATATTTTAATGTACTAATATGCTCCTCAAGAAACATTTATCATTATTATGACACAAAAAAAAATTTATGCTACCATTTATTTTTGTGCAAACCACAATGCATTATTGCATTTTATTATTCAAATAACTGCATATGCATAATAATGACAATAATAATTTATCATTATAATAATAGCAATATCCTATTGTTGGCTGTTCATTTAAATTTTTCCATTTAATATGCTGCTCAAGAAACATTTATTATTATTATGGCACAAAAATAAAATGCTGCCTCACATTTTTGTGCAAACCACAATGCATTCTTGCATTTTTTTATTCAACTAACTTAAATTATATTACAGCACCCCAAGTTGCCTTAAAGGGAAACCGCATATTTCATTCATTTATTCAGAAAGGAACTCAAAGTCTGCGCTTGTGACCGAAATGCAACCTCTGGTGGACAGTGGCAAACTCTGAAATGAGATGCAGATTCAGAGTTCCACATGAGGTTATTAATTAGCAAATAATTAGCGCAGTCAAAATTAACGCGTTAACGCATGCTATTAATTTTAAATAATTAACGTGTTAAAAAAAATTTACGCAATTAACGCAGTTGCAGGTTTTTTTACTTCCTGTTGTGGTGGACGTGTGTTCAACATGCAATAAATGTGGATAAGACCAAGGAAGCACTTTTTGAAGGCAAGTTTCAGTATAAAACAATTAGTCGCATCACCAGGCTCTCCAAAGTTTCATGCAATTTCGGGTGATTAATTTTTAACTTTCGACTTCTGTTGTAAGTTGATACCGCATGGCGAACAGAAAGAAAATCTTCCGCATTTTGTGACTCGGTGTTCCTTTAAGGTAAGGTTCCTTTTAAGGCTACACGGTAGAATTTTAATAAGAGTTTAATCTTAATCATATTAAAATCGGAGTATTGGTGTCTTATGTGAATGTACTCAGAACGTCTCTGGTGAAGTCGCAAGCTGTCAAAGACAGGGCATTACTCTGCCTTTCAGCATGAGCCCTCCAAGTTTAGCGTGTTTTCTCATTAAACGCAACGAAAGTGTATGCTTCGCGTTGTTGTGTCAGAATCCTTGTGAAATACAGTAATACTTTAGGACGCTTAGTTTAAGCAAATTTGATAGACGTGATCATGCGTGATGAATCTGAGGGGAGTCGCTGTAGTATGGAAGGCCGTTAGGGCCAAAACGTCTGCAGCGCGTTGTGTGTTTGTCTGTGTGTGTGTCTGTGTCAGGGGTGGAGTGAGCGACGTATCTGAGTAGGGGCGAGAGGGGTGTGCAATGTATTTAACGACCGGTTTGCAAGAAATTATCATTCATTTGCGGGCATTTGGGAGTCTCTGTGCACTTGCGGGATACTCCTAGTCTTAGCAACTGGATGAATGTAAAGGAGGATTAAGCAAAATTGTTTCTACTCTATAACTAATGTTCTCAACTCACAGCAATACAACTTTACAATGAGTGCAACAGTTTGTATTCTATAGTTTATTATTATCATTTTTCATTTTCCATATCTGCAATTCCTGTATTTTGGCATTTTTTTGCAGTTTTTTTGCATATGGAAATCAATGTTTTCTTTATTTACATTGATTGTTTTGAAATTTAAATGTCATTAACATGCCTGTGTTTTAATTTCTTTAATAAATATGGCTGTAAAGCCAGGATCTTGATGGTTTATTGTGGTTTTTTTTGTTTACATGAAGAAATCTGTGTTACAAGTTAAACAAAAATTCTATTAAACAATTATAATTTGAATTTAAATATTTTTTGTCTTGCGTTTACATTAAGTTTACATTTAAATAGCCAAAATTACAATTTTCAGTATTTTAAATGCAATAATTTTTTTAAAAAGGTGCGATTAATTAGTTAATTTTTTTTATCGATTGACAGCACTACAAATAATATAAATATCACTAACATAAACATTTGGTGAGCAGGTTACATTGTAACCTTGTGTCCTAACAAAATGCTTCGTGACGAGATTCATAGTGATAAGCAATTTGGCTGTTTGCACAAGACGAAACACGACAGAAATTTAAATGCAGCCATTCAGAAGCACAGAACATGCACTCGCTCACGAAATGGTAAGGTTTATACTCTAATGAATACATATTAAACCTCTTTAACATTAATAAATGTACATGCACAATGACCATGTGTTGGGTTTGAGTCTCAGTTCTAAAGTTCAATGAGGTAATGAGGTAAACTAAACAAGAAATAGAAGCCATTTGCAATGTATCAGTGTTGGTTAGAACAAAAACTCCTTTTAATATGGAAAATATTCTTCATATCGGGTGCCGTTAAATTAGCCTTGTTGGTTCTTAATCTGTCAGCCTGCGCTTGTGTTTGTTTTAATCCAGGAATGCAATCCCTAGTTTAACATCTTGGTGTAAAACTTACATCCTGCACCTTTAATAATAATCTATTATCATAATAATGGTAATAATATATTTTTACCTGTACATATTTTTTTCCCAAAATCAAATGCTTGATTTTAGATGAGCTGTCTCTTTAAGAAGAGTTTAAAATGGAAGTGTAGTATGTGTCTTTCTGCATTTACTGTCCTCTACGCTGTGAAGGACACAGAGAGATGCGGAGTGGCCAGAATGACCTCGGCAGTAATACGACACTGACTGATGCTGCTGATGCTCTCACAGGCAGCAAGGGCACATGCTGAGAAATGACACACTGTCTGCTGCACTCATACCACTGGGATAAATAATCCTGCAAACCCTCTGACTTACAGTGTTCTCCAATAATACTGGCGCACATGGTAAATACATGGGCAAAGGCGAAAAAAAAAAATACATTAAGCTATTTTTGCAATTCTCATTTTTATATCGAAGCACCTTAAATCCAAGTCAATCATATCTTAGTGATCAATAAAACTGTCAATGTAACATGAGGCAGAATTGTTCAGTTCAATTATTTACTGGAAATAATATGCTGTACTAAACAGAATCAAATTATAGTTACACATTTAAAATACTAAAGTAATTTATAAAGAAAAATATTTAGGAATAAGCATTTAATTGTGTGTGTATGTATATATATATATATATATATATATATATATATATATATATATATATATATATATATATATATATATATATATATATATATATATATATATATTTATATCTCATGTTAGCCTAATTGGTTGGCGATGTCACCGAACAGAGCAAGAGGTAGCAGTAGCACACCAAAATGTTTGTTGTCGAACACTGTAAAACAGGAAGAAGAAGAAATCGTCATTCTCACCATCCTATCAATTTACCCTTATTGGCTAGACATTGGTCTCACAGCTCCGTGAATGTTGGTGCAGTTACTTATTGATCCACGGTCGGCAACTGTAGCTTGTATGGACGCTACTGCGCTACTTGACTAAAAAAATAGATTCGCTACTGAGAAGCTATTTGATTCAGTATGTAGCAATGCTACCGCCACGTTACTGATAAATGTAGTTAAGCTAGTAGTGTCACTACTTGTAGCAACGCTACTGATCAACACTGCATACAAAATTCATGCACATCTTGTCAGGGAAGCACAATTCAGTGGTAAACCAGAACAGTTATCTAGACTTCATTATTGTCAGATTAAATTGATTTTGATTTCAAATTTGATTTAACCTAACTCAATGTAGTATGACTCTGTGTAGTAAATACTGCTCCACCTAAAAGCATGTGCTAAAGGTTTGCTAGAACCAACTTTACTTTCAAAATGCACATGAAAAATCACCTTCGAATAATAGCCCAGACCTACTGAGTATGTTGTAGTTAGGAACAGCAGTGCACGTGTGACTATTACCTGTAAAACATTCTATGTTTGATGTTATCGTCTCTTACTGGTCAATTTCACAATCTTTTGAGCCCTGTCTTTTATATTAAAACAATGGGTTTTATTTTTTATCTAGATGAGTAAAAATGCTCTTTTTTAGCATCACCTTCTTACTGTATGTGTAGGGATTTTGTTTGAAGTTGTAAAATGGGGGCTCGTCCGGGATCCCAACACATTCTCTTTCAGACTGACACACAACACTTTAGTGTTGCACAACAGTGTCTTTGCTAAATTTTTATTGTCACTTGTTATTTTGTCAAGCTCAACAACCCACTGCTGCAAATCACAGCTATGTTGTTTGGTCGTACTTATAGAGATCAAGTAGACTTTGGCCTTTGTGTTACAGTACCTCATAATTAAACCATATTTATATCATGGGTAAAACATTTTCCCCATCCTAGTCACACTAAAAAGATATCAATAAGAATGTAGTCGAAATAATTTTTCTTGTATTACTTAATAATTCATCATCTCACATATGTCAAAAAAAGATATTGTTATTTTTTTAGATAAAACTGCTGTGTATGTAATTATTTGTTCTAAATGAAAGTTTTTCTATATTGATCACTATTATTTATCTTTCATAGACTTCGGTTTTACAAAATATCAGCAAAAATGTATAATAATACAAATAATAAGAAAAAAAAAGTGAGTGAACAACTTTTGTTATTTTTTATCTGCTCATTTTTACCAAGGGTGCCAATATTAGTTAAAGGTAGAGTCCTAAAAATCATAACAATAATACATAACAATGCTGTACTTCTCACAATCTGCAGGTGAACAGAAATGAGATGGAGTTTGACTGATAAATCAATAAAACATAATGGAGAATAAGACAAGCAGGGTTTATGATATGGTGTCTCTGGACTCGTTGGCATCATGCTATAAGTGTTATGGTGTTGCCGACTGAAGCTGAGCATATGCGTTAAGAGACGTGCGTTTGGATAGATTGGTGAGATCAGGAAAGACATGGGCAACCTGTCAAAGGCTCTGAGAGAGTCTCAGTGTCATTGTCATGTCCTGAGAAGTCTGTAGAGTAAGACAGAAGAGCAGGAAAACACCAGGGCTCAATAGAGTCAAGGGAAAGAAAGGCACTTCATAAATAGAGTCAAGGAAAAGAACGGCACTTTATACATGCATTAGAGTCAAGAAAAGTTTTCATTTCAAACTGGTTATTATATAAATATTAGTAAAATATAAGGGAAAATACATACATATAAAATAATCATACACACATATAATCAAACATATTTTCAGTCTATTTTTCCGAAATAAGGAAAAATTAAAATACATATTCAAGTATTTAAATTAATAATAATAATAATAATAATTATTATAATAAATAAATAAATAATCACTGTTTTTATTAAAAAAGGAAAACATTACTACAAATACTGACATGGAACTAAAGCCAAATTTTGAAAAAGTTCTCACTTCATACAGATTATTAAACAAATATTAGTAAAATACTGTAGAGAAAAAACAAATAATCCTACATATAAATAATCAAACATATTTTTGGGTATATTTTCCAAAATAAGAACAAATTTAAACACATATTTAAATTAATAACAATAACAATAACAATAATAGTAATAATAATAATACATTAGTATTGTTTTATTTTAAAAAAAGAAAAACGTCACTATAAATATTGACATGGAATTAAAGCCACAAAACTCTGAAATAAGATTATTATTAATTAATATGACAATATATAAGACTAAATATATAATTCTATATATTTTTATATTATTAAAAAATTAGGAATATATGTTTGTAGCCAATGTGTAGATTTTTTAGGTGCTTAATTCAATTTATTAAACACAATTGTTTTTATCTGCATCTGTCGACAGAAGATTCAACTGTGAAGCTGAGTTTGAATCACAATGTGTATGATGAATCAATGATGATTAGTGTCTGTACCTTGCCAGCAGGCGCCGATGGTGAGCTGGGTCTCAATCTTGGAGGTATGCAGAGGGTAATCCTCTGTAACCAGGAACGGCTCAAAGGTGCCTCCATCCACAAACAAAGTCACTGCCGGGAACTCGATGTTCAACACATAGTGATGCCATTCTTTATCACACACCTGGGAAAAGAAACAGGCCTCAGTTGTTTGTTTAATACCATATTATTTGTTTAATACCATACCAGGCTTGTTGGCTATTACATGGCAGATACATATTAAACATTTAACATAATTTCACAAACAATGCACAAAAAGCAAACACATTTTCAACTTCAACAGAAATCAAAAAATGTTAAGAACTAAATGAATACAACATCAGAATAATTACTTAAATAACTTTTTAACAAAAATGGTAAAATCCGAGTGCGTGAATACAACTTTAAAGTCTGTCCTGGTAAAAAAACATCTGTCTTATAACATAAAAAATTGGGCAGTCCAACAAAATGTTTTTAGAGACTCGAGTTCGAGTTTTAATGTTTTAGTTTATTTCCATAGGGAGATTATATTAGCAGCAGTAGTTAGCAATTTAACGGCAGACTAAAGCCGAAAATTCATTCAGATAAACTTCTGCATTGTAGAAAGTGAAAACCTGCTACTCGAAAAAAGCTATTAGCCAACTTAGAAACGCATTAATTTTACAGCCTATGCTCACTAAAAATACAGGCCTCAGACGACATTTTTGCATAACGTAAAATAAGTTGCGCAGTAAAATAAGTTGCGTTACATTTCATTGTGTGTTTCAGATACAGAGATACGTTCGAATCAACTAGCGAATTACTGACCCAAACCATCCTCTAAACCCAACCGATAGTGTTTTCAAACACAAACAAAAGAGGAAAGTGCTCTGTGACCTCATCATTTTACCTTGATTTTGCATTGCTTTCATCTGTGGAATGTGGATATTTGTGGAACCGTGCTTCACCAAATTTAAACTACAAACTGAGTTATTGACCATGACCGAAAAGTTGTCCAAATGGAAATAGATGAAACAGACGTTTTCAATTACAAATCAGACATTTACACATCAGGTATTTATTCATTTTCCTTTGGCTTAGTCTCTGTTTCAGAGGTCGCCAAAATAAACCACCAACTATTCAGGCATATGTTTCATGCAGCGAATGTCCTTCCAGCCACATTTTCAGTACTGGGAAACACGCATTCACACACGCACTCATACACTACAGCCAATTTAGTTCATCCAATACATCTATAACACATGTCTTTGGACTGTGGGGGAAACCAGAGCACCCGGAGGAACCTACGTGAACACAGGGAGAACATGCAAACATGCCACCATGTCGCCCTGTGCAAAGAACTATATAAAAATAATATTCTATTCTGCATAATTTGTCCCTATAAGTATTATTAATGTAAAAAGGAACAAAAGTTACTCAATTCAGTGTTCATTTCATCTAGAAACTGTAGCAAAGCATATGCTAAAGTATTTTTTAACAGTTTTAAGCAAGTCTGAAGCCTGTATTTCCTTTGAGTCTGTTCCCTTCACCATTTAAGTAGGTGAAACAAGTGTATTGCTAATACCTTACGTAACACAATACATAACAATATTAAAAGCCATGAAATGTTGACAATAGCCGATCACAGCTAAATCCTTTGGTTTAAAACGTTCAAATGCATGACTTAAAATAAATCTGTACTATATATAAACGCATCTAAAGTCGAATGCATTTCTCTGTCATTGCATCAGATTTTGTCCACTGCACATGGACCACTTCGTCAGAACAACTTTCGCCATGTTTTGCCTTAATTCAACACATGAGGTGACCTATTCATTCACCGCTAACTAGCTTAACATAGCATTTAGTAACACACAAGGGCGTCTTTCACAAACTCTGTGCTTCGGAGGGCCTCGAGCGGACTCACTTGATCGAGTTTCCAGTGGAATTCAGCAGGTTTGTAGCTCTCCGATTCGGTGGGTTCCTGACGCAGCAGCAGCACCAGGCGACAGTTGTGCACATATAGAGAATAATGGTGTCTGTTCATCTCTGCACATACAGAAGAATAAAACCACACTTCTGTCAATAATCATTCATCTCAATTCACTTGTTTATCACATGACAGATGGCATGTCGCAATAGTTGATGTTTTTTTACTCTCAGATGCAGATAAAAGGATTTATAAGGAACCGTACACTATGTGCCGTATTTGCTGCAGCCACACTCTTCTAGAAAACAATGAAGCAAGTTGCTATAAACGAGGACATAACTGTGATGTAATCAGCCTTACATAAGACCCAGATGATGAGCTTTTTCTAGCGCATTGGATTTCACTTGACTGACCAGAGAGTGAGATTCCCAACACTACTACAATAAAGCCCTTTAACAACCATCTAAAACATCAAGATGCTATTCTAGTTTAGTTTCGCCAACTAATGTTATTTTATATCATTAAATATTTTTAAATCACTGTTTTCCTTTTAAATGAAAGAAAACCAACTGCTGTGCATAGATTATATAGAGTATTTCTGAAATGATTAAATGTATAACTTCTTGGAATATTGCTAATAAAATGCTGGACAACATGTGATGAAAATGAGTTTTGTTTAGTAGGGCTGCACAATCTATTGTTTTAGCATTGATATTGCATTGGGCACATTCATAATAGTCACATGGCAAAAACAGCAACATTAAGTTGGGATTATAGCTGACCAGGAACCACACTTTGGAACATTGTGGATAGACCTGTCACAATAATCAATATATCGACTTATCGTGCAATATTTGTATATGACCTCAATAATATTTGCCATTGCAATATATATTTACAAATTCACACACGCTCGCTGCGCACACACAGAGACATAGTATGTGCGACAGAGAGAGAGTGGATAGTGAAGGTAAAGAAGACAAAACACGAACCCAATGACTTGTGTTTAGAAGCTACAGTCAGTTAGGATAAATAAGTCGCGACGGACTTGGTTTCAAAGCCACAGTCTTCAGCTCCAGTGTGGGAATATTTTAGCTTTGAGCCGAATGAGAAGGGAGTCTGTAATGTGAACGAGCCAATAGGTCGAATTTGTTTCAGAACAGTGGCAATGAAAAAAGGCAACACAACTTGCCTTAAATCACACCTAAAACATTACCACCCTACCCATTTGTTTAACATGGGAGCAAGAACTGTCTTCCGGACAGTTAACTGTAACGGATGTATTACCTGTCAGTGCAAATATAAACATAACAGTCCAAAATAACACACACTCACAGACAGGTACCATTACAGTATATAACTAAAGAGATGTAGCAGTTAAACACATTAAAAAAAACAGCATTTACAAAAATATGCTACAAATATTTAACAAACAGTCCAGTCTTGGAATCTGCCTGATTATTAAAATAAAATGGCGCCTGAGATGCTTTAAAAGGCGATTTTTTTGTTTCGATTTACTATTTATTATTACTTATTTGTTTTAAGATATTTTTTTTTCATCTTTCAATTTCAAACCTAAATATTCTAAATGTTCTTCTTAAAAATAAAATGTTCTTTGAAACAGTGTACCTAAATTATTACACTATTATGTTGTAAAAATGTATTATTTTTATTTGTGATATAATAAGTTATAAAGTGGCAATAATATCGTTTATCGCAATAAATTTGGGTGCAATATATGCCCCCCATCTCGAAATCAGAAATCTTGACAGCCCTATACCACACCAATGTCAAAGTTAATGATTGGACATTTACATCATTTCTGACATCAAATTACAGAATCTAAATAACCTTAAGAATAAAAAGACTTGCAAGAGTTTACGGCTATTTGCATTTATGCTTGTTGTATAATCATTCTATAATCAGTGGCGTAAAGTGATCTCAAAACGACAATAATATTACTTATTGCAACAATTTCTGTGACAATATATCGTACAACAACATTTTTTTAGCGTGACAGACTTAACTGTAGAGCTATTGCAAAGTTTAACATCAGAGTTTTTTTAAATGACTTTTTGCTCTTGTTTTTAAGGCGTGTGACGAAGTTTAAGCTGATTTAAACCATTTGTGTATAAGAAATTATATTGTTTGTAGCTTTAGATTAATTGCATTTAATTTTTTTTACACATGAAGACTATACAGTGTAATCCATTTACAGTTCCAGAATACATTTACACTCTCTTGAAAACCATCGGTTAAACCCATTTTGTTTGTTTGCTTTATTCTATAGCTTGTAAATTCCGTAAATATATTTTATGAAAATGCTCTGCCCGATGAAATCATCACAATTATTCTAAAATAATGAATTCTAGAAAACAGAAATAGAGCTATTCATGTCACCTGGTGAAATTATAATCATATTGCAATATATACAGCAGAAAAACAAAACATTTCAACGCTAGTTTTTTCCAACATTGTGCAGCCCTCATATTTTGTAAAATAATGGATTAACTGTTGTTTATTTAAACAAAAAACATAAAATAATAAGCACACACTATATTCATATGAATAAAATCTACTTTCACCAACTGTGAATATCTGTATTTTTATTATTATTATTATTATTGTTGTTGTTGTTGTTGTTGTTATTATTATTTATTAATATAGAAATATATATTTTATTTCTTTATTAGTTAACATTAGCAGGTGTATCATTTTAGTATTAATAATAATAATAATAATAATAATAACAATATTTTGCTTTGATTGTCAAAACAGTGCGGTCAACTAAATTCATTTAATTATTCATAATTTCAAATTAAATAAATGCATTAACATCATTAATAACACAATTACATGTGTTAACTACGGTGGCCGGGAAGTGCAAAACAACATTACAAAGTGTGAAAAACTTTTAAAAAGCTTGAGACAAATTTACATTATGAAAAACATTTTTACCTATCATCAGACACAATTAAATAGTAAAAACAATTTTACCAAGGACGAAACAAATTTACATTTTAGAAAAAAATGTCACGCTGATATTTTCTCAGAATAGCTCTATGTTTTAATCGCAGTTAGTCAAACCATGATTTTTGTAGTCTTAGACTCGTGGAAACCTGTCTCACACAAGATGGATATTATTGATATTTTCCAGTGTGTGTGTTACATTTCGTCACTACCGGTGTCTGGTACATTTCACGTCACTTCCGGTGTGTGGTACATTCCCTTACCGTAAATATTCTGTAATTGTAAATTTGTTTCGGGACTTGTAAAAGCGTTTTGCGTCTTGTTAATTTTTTTCTAAAATGTAAATTTGTTTCGTCCTTGGTAAAATTGTTTTTACTATGTAATTGTGTCTGATGATAGGTAAAAATGTTTTTCAAAATGTAAATTTGTCTCGAGCTTTGTAAAAGTGTTTTATACTTTGTAATGTTGTTTTGCACTTTCCGGCCACCATAGTTAACACTATAACATGTTAACAGTCCCACAGTGGCAAAAAGACAAAGAGGACACACAAACAGTAAGCTATCATCATCACTCGTTCTGTCCTGTGTGTGTTCTGTGTATATGTTGGTTTTGATGGTTTGTATAATGTCAATGTCATTACAATAATGAGGTGGTTTATGAGGACATACCCTGTGTCTTCACAAATTGTTAAAAATCATACATAACAGTTTTTTTTACATTCAAAACTTGCCACCGGTTTCCTGTGAGAGTTGGGTTTGAAGGATGGGAAAGTTTTTGGAGTAAAAAATACATTATACTGATGGAGAGTCCTCATAAACCACCAAAACAAGTATGTGTGCTTAGTGTGTGTGAATGTGAATCACCAGTCTTGTCGGAGTTGCAGAGGATGGTCTCCTTCTCTCGTCCTCCAGGCCCGTGTCTCATCCACACAGAGATGGTGAAGGGTTCCTTCAGGGTGGTGCTCACCACCCCCTCAGGAACCTTGATGGCCTGAGTGCCGTTGAACTCAAACACCTGGTCACTGTCATGCCCATTGTCAGTGGGCAGACCTACAGTCCAATTGGCAGAGTTGCTGGGAGCAGGCAGAAGCTCCACAGTGCCAGAGCTGGCACCTGGATGGGCACACAAACAGATATTCATCAGAGCGGCCCAAATTACTGTTTACATTTTGCTTCAGTCTGTACCTATGGGATTACACATGTAATATGATTATGTAAATGAATTTTAAACAGTTTACACTTCAGTTGTTTGTTGCAATTTCTGTCTCATTCAAATGACGTTACATATTTCTACAGGACGTTTTCTCAAAATGGGTTTTTCTCCTGTTATAAAACATAATTCTACATAGTTTTAAAATACTGAAGGTTTCATGGGATTTGTTCATACTAAATTTCACTGATTACATGTAAAACTTTACACTGTCAGGAAACAACAGAAATCAGAAAGTGAAATTCAATACCTTATATAAGACCTTTTTTAAGACTCTTTCCATACATTGTAAGGCCTTTATCGCCACTTTAGGTTTCAAACGGTAACATTGGCGACATTATAACTTGTAGGCATTTAAGACTTTTAAATACTTTTTTAAGGGCCTCAAATGTCTCGAAATTGAGTTATCAACTTGTAATACTTTTTAAGACCCCATGGACACCCTGACTTTAAAAAAATCTGGTTTATTGTGGAACGACAAATCCGACAGATTTTTGTGCTAGAAATATATGCAAATAAGCAGATATTTTATGAAGTAATGCCTCATTTTCATAGTCTTACATAAAATTTAGGAATATGTTTGTCATTCTTTATGTATTCAATGAGCAGGGGAATTACGGTGATTAACTATTAGGCAATGTTTTACCCTTATCACCTGCAGCATCTTGCCTCAACATACATTTCAATAAAGTCATAATCACATTTAATGATCTTGATGTTAATCCATTATAATAATAGGGTTGGAACTCACCGCATAGCTTGTGCAGGGATTTTTCAGAGTAAGTGTCTCGATCGCAGCCCTTGCCGATGTGGTTGGTCTCCAACATGATGCTGGCCTGGATGGAGGTGATCGGCTCCTCACAGGTCTCCAGATGCATGCTGGGAAACAGCGCTAGGCTTCCTGTACCAGGCTCATACTCAATCCTTTTGTTAAATCCTGTAACATCAGGCACAAAATGTGTCATGCACAAAACAGACTATAAGAGAGTGTTCAGTAGCACTTTGTATTAAGCTTGTGAGCTTGAACAAACATTGAACAATCCGATCAATTTTCCATACACTTGCATTTTTACAATTAAAATAACAGGTTTTTTTTTCAATTATTTGTATACATTTTGAAAAGTACTTCAGATATCATTTTTATATAATGACTATCAGATTAGTTCAGCAAATAAAATCCATGTATTTTTGTCCAAATTCCACTTTAGATAGAGAATTACCCTTAAGTTAAAATTGTGTCCATCTTTTAAATTTGCACACTTTATTAAAATCACAAAGTTGTGCACTTCACCTTCTACAAAACTGACCATGCATGGCTTTCAGCTTTGAAAAAACAAGCAAATTGAGCTGTGTTGGGTTGATTATCTGAGAAACAGAAGAGCCAGAGGTCACTGATACCTTGCCAGCTCGGTTTGCAGGTGGGCTTGATGTTGATCTTAACCAGGACGTCCTCGGATGCTCGGTTTTTACCACAGTCATAGGCAGTCACTGTGAGTTTGTACATGCGCTCCTTGCCGTAGTTCAACTTCTCTGTGTTCTTGATGTTGCCTGTTTAGAAGCAGAAGTGACAAGCAATTAATTTACAAGCTAAAAAAAAAGCCAAATCATGCTTAAAGCCCTTCTGAAAGTTTTGGAGTGTTAGTAGCAATATATAAGTCTTAGGGTTATCTACTGTATAAGTTAGTGTGCACAATAACAACAACAAAACTTGAATGTAAGCATTAAAGATGCACCGATATGGAAATTTTGACAGATACAGATAACCAATAACTCTTGAAAATTTCTGTATGATTTCAAAAACAAAAACCAAACACATACAGGATTAAACAACTGGATTTATTTTAAAACTTTAACTAAAAAAAAGTTTGAACCGATCTATTCAACTATTCTTTTTTATGACCAGCTCTCTGTTATTTAAAAAGCATAAATAAAGCAACCAAATCACTATGTATTTACAAAAATCAAAATAATAAAACAGTGGCAGGCAGAAAGCTTGTGTAGTAGTTTAACAAGCAGAAATAATACAATTTAATACAATAATACAATCAAATCGATTTTAAGATATCTGCCTAATTTTGTTCTCACACCGATAACGATAACAAAAAAAGTGGAATTTATTGGCTGGTATCGATATGGTCGCAGATAAATTTCGCATTCCTAATTAAAGACATCAACATTCAAACCTTGCAGTTTCTAATATCCACCAAAATCATTAAATTATTCAACAAATGTATATGACATCACCAAAAAAACTTCAGCTTCTCATTGGCTTCTCTGACCAATCAAATATATCTGAATCTATTGCTTCGGCAGAAATTGGTCATTTTCACATGAAACCCAAACACTCTCATTTATTAAAAAATATTAAATGCTACAGACAGAGAAACACTCCACATTTATTAGTCGTAACAATATGGAGAAGAACCCAAACTGTGACTGGGAACAACACTCACCTATACAGCAAGCACTGAGAGGGGGAAATAATTTCACTGATTAACCACATATTTAAAGTAAGCATTCAGCCAACTAGGACATTCAAAATGATGCCTGTTCTACATGGTGAATAAGATTCTAATAGGAAAAAATGGCGGAGACAGTGTAAATGTGCTTTTAAGTTGGGGTGAATGAAGCAACACAGGCTTATTAAGAATACATGCTTCAGCCTACATTTTTTTAAAAACCGCAGAAACATACTTAAACATACAATTGATTGCGGTTTCTAGTGTAAAATGAACACTACGGGGCAGCATAATGCCAACAACTTTTTTTTCCTTTTCACACTAATAATACTTATGGGAACATATTGTCAATGAATGAAGAACAACAACAAAAAAACTAACACAAAACAACTAAATGTTGTCCATGATTTGTAATCGAATATGTGCACCTCGGCTATCCTTGTTTGGGTTTCAGTTGGAAAAGCATGATTCCAATGTAAAAGCCAAAGTTAAACTATGTGGTCACAGTGCACTTTTCTCTTACATTTGCTTTTGAAAAAACTATTGGTTGGGCTTAGATCAGTTGTTAGCTACGTAATAGGTTGGAAGATAGCAAAATGACTATAATATATGCAATCCCACTTTATTGTGAGTTCACCCTTTATTGCCGAGTTCACTACATCAAACGTTACTCACTCTCTCTAGTTTACTCTTTACGCTTGTTGACGTTTTTCACCTCACGCAAATTTCCTGCTTAATTTAAACTTGCACAGAAGGCACGATTTGGCTATATTTTGCACAATTGCATTAAATGCGCTGTGCATTCAAATTCTTAATTCTAAATACATGACGACACCTCCTCAACACCCCTCACCCCACCCACTCCATGACAAAATGAACAATATGAAAGCTGATCAGTGCTACGAATAAAGTTGCAAACCCCCACACTAGGTGATCTGTACATTAAGCCCCACCTTCATGTAGACATGTACAAAAAGGGCATCGGGATCATACCCTAAGTCAGGGGTGTCTAAACTCGGTCCTGGAGGGCCGGTGTCCTGGAGAGTTTAGCTCCAACCCTAATCAAACACACCTGAAAAAACAAATCAAGCTCTTACAAGATATACTAAAAACTTCCTGGCAGGTGTGTTGAAGCAAGTTGGAGCTAAACTTAGCAGGACACCGGCCCTCCAGGACCGAGTTTAGACACCCCTGCCCTATGTAATGCATTTCAAATTTGAAAATATGCAGACAGCGCCCTCTAGTGAATCAGTTATCTGAAACATGTAACATTATGTACCTTGAGAAACGTATTTAATTTGTAGCATGAAATGTAAGTTGAGGCACATATTTACTATTAGTCTGGGTTGAAATAAAGTCTGACAAACTAACAATGCAAGGGCTTCTCTGGTCCAGAGACATGGCAATACAGAACGGATTATATGCGCAAGTCAGCGCAGACTGCATAACATATCAGACCCAATTAGGGGTGTCACGATTTCGATTTTTAATCGAAATCGATCGAAATTTATGCTCAATTTCGATTATCGAATCCAAAAATAGAATCGTCGATGCTGCCACGCCCCCATGTCACGTCAGCTTGGCTTGCCAAGCGGGAAAATAACAGGCTTGTTGAAGTGCTTGTTAAACTGCAGAAGCAGGAGACCCGTCGACAGAACCTCTCCTCTTTCAATGAAGTCGCCGGTGTGTAAGAATTTTGGATTTTCAGTGAGTTATGTTGACAACGTTCGTGTTGTCGACAAAAAAAAAACACAGTTTTGCAAGCTCTGCTATGTACGTATTACATACGGTTCATCCGATAGACAACACCGGCATAGCGATCCTCCGCCCGCCCCTGTTGCAAATCCGCTCGTGAAAAGTACACACTCAGGCCCTGTTTACACTGTCTTTGTTTTTAAAAGGCATTTTAGAACGACAACGATTTGACATCCACAGTGGCGTGTAGCATTGAAATCCACAGTGGCGTGTAGCATTTCTGAGCAGCCCTCCTTCCTCTCTAACTTACCTCTGAAAATGCACATTACGTGACCACACAGACACAGACGCACTCACAGCCATGCGCTCGAGAGAGCAGGTCCAGGCAGTCAGAGGACTGCTTCAATATTTCACTCACTTGTACTTTGTCATTTTAGCGAACACCTCAGATACTGTTGGCTGGTTCCTGTTGGTTGTGCGTCTTTTTTACTGACGCCATTATAAGGACACAGATCACTGCCTATTCACGAGTCCCGCAGAAAAAGTGATTGACAGGTGGTAATTATGTGTGTATCTTGCCTTTATTCATTTACTGTATGATTTGTTTATGGGTAAAACAAAGACCAAGCAGGTCAGGTAGTTTAAACGGTAGGCTACAAATAATTAATTGGTCATTAATTAATTATTCATAATCGAAAATCGAATCGAATCATGCCTTTAGAATCGAAAATGTAATCGAATCGAGGATTTGGAGGATCGTGACACCCTTAGACCCAATAGAACTCAACACTGTACCCTGTATTATAAAGCAAGGAAACAATTATACAAACTCACCATTGCTATAACACTCAGATCTGCAATATAAACAAAGCGCTATTGGCTATTTTAAAACATGGGAGGAGCTACTTAATATAACCCACCCTGTAATCACGTTTCAGCTGAAATTACATCACACATAGCTTTCCAAAGCACTTCAGGGAGTCTTTAAATTCCGGCCACATCTCAAGGTGACAGATGGCTAACGTCAACATTAGAGTGCTACGGCTTGTTTGAACAAATCAATTTTTTATATGCGCATGAATAACAATGACCTAGAAGTCAATATTGCTGTTAGAGCTGAGTTTTGGCAGTCACTTACCATCCTTATCAATGGTGAAGGGCACATCGGGGGTGACAATCTCGTAGCTGCAGATCTGACTGAACTGGAAAGAGCAGTCTGCGTCCACGGCCTCCACCTTCATGATGCTGTCGTACTTCTTGCCCTCGATTACTGTGGCTTTGTAGGACTTCTCTTTGAACACTGGAGAGTACTCGTTCACGTCATTCACTTGGATGTGGACGGTGGCCCTGAGGGACATCAAAGACTTGATTAATAAACTAGAAGTGGACGCGAGGAAATAAGCACACGGCAGTGACGCAGATCCTGTCTGTTAGCAGATGGATGATTCATTTACACATGATCTAAAGGCTAGCAAGTGTCAAAACTAAATAAATAAATAAATCATTCATTCATTCACTTTCCTTTGGCTTAGTCCCTTTATTTGTGAGTAGTCGCCACAGCAGAATGAACCGCCAATTTATCCAGCATATGCTTTACACAGCTAATGCCCTTCTAGCTGCAACCCAGTACTGGGAAACATGCATATACAGTGGTTAGTCTAACCTGATGAAGACAATGTAGGTCGAAATGTTGTCACATTAAAAAAGCTAAAGTGAGAGCTAAAGTGGCAGTGTGCTAATTTTCTTTTTATCTTTGCCACTGTAATTGTTTTTGATCGAGCACTTGCCTTTGAGAATCCTTGATGTGCGCACAATTCTGTTTCTTGGTTGCTTAAAAACATGCATATACACTCATTTACATTACACAGCGACCTTCTTGCTGTGAGGTGACAGTGCTAACCACTGAGCCACCAAGTCGCACAATAAATAAATAATACAAATTTAAAGCATGGGAGAAATGAAGCTGCATGTGCTAAATCTAAACAAATAAACTATTTCTGGATTTTAATTCTGAAATATGATTAGTATAATAAACATAATTATAAAAGGTGGAAAGAAAAAACAGCAGTGAGTAAGCAAACTTAGAAAAGTAAGCTTTCCTTTTTTTTTTTTTTTTACTTTTCAGTGCTGATTTTTATAAATATCTTGTAGGCATGTGATGTAAAGCTTGACCTACAGTAGACACAGACATTGTGTTTAAACTTACTGTAATATTCTATAATACTCTTTAATTATAAGTACTTTATTTTATCAAATGTCACAAAGGGGGGCCAGTTTTTTAAAAGAGGCAGGCAGGTTAGGATTATTAGGCAAGTTATTGTATAAGGATGGCTTGTTCTGTAGACCATCGGAGTAAAAAAATTCAAAAAAATTTACCTTAGTTTTTTTTTTTTACTGCTTTTATTGTAGCCAAAATAAAACAAACAAGACTTTCTCCAGAAGAAAAAATATTATCAAAAATCCCTTGCTCTGTTAAACATTATTTGGGAAATATTAAAAAAAGAAAAACAATTTCAAAGGGGGCTTATAATTCTGACTTCAACTGTATATCGAAAAAATAAATGTCTCCTGACTAAATCAGCATATTGGAATTAGTGCAGAAATTCTATAAATAATACAGGAGTAAAGTTAATTTCCATATTCTAAAGACATGGTGCAGAAAAATGAAATTTAATGCAGTGCTTCTTGCTTGGTCTGATTCCCACTTTACATCATATCTCGATCAGGTAGTAAAGATCACTGTTTTTTTTTAAGAAATCACATCTTAAACGCTGCGATTTTGTATAGGATGACAATTTACCGGAAACCCTGGGGCTGGCAGAATGAAATTAAAAGTCCATGTGCATGCATTTCTGTTCTATTTTAAAATATATACAATTTTAATACAATTATTGTAAATAACTATTAACTGAAAATTTAAACAATTTATAATTTAAATTTTAAATATTAACAATATTTAAAATATGTACTGTATTTTTGATCAAATAAATATACCTTTGTTGAACTCCAAACATTTATGGTTAGAATATATTTTGGTGGTGGGTGAGTAGATCGCCCCATTGTGTAAAGCGATTTGAGTGTCAAGAAAATTGCTATATAAATGTAAGGAAATATTATTAACATTATTATTATTATTATTATTTTATCTTCCTTCAAATATAATACCTAGAAGGGGCATTTATATAGGTAATTCACCACAAAAGGAAGCTTGCTTTTTATATTCACACATTAAATACCTTGTCTCTTAGGGGTTTGAATTTGGCTTTTGACTTGACATCTTTTCTATAATTATACATGTGTTTATGCATTCGTGTTTTTTGTTTTTAAAAGATATCTAATAGATGTCTAATAGACGTCTAAACATAGTCATCTTGGCTAAAACAAGACTAAATTTGGGCTGTCAGTGAAAATCTAATAGACGTCTAAGAATAGACCAAAAACTAGACTAATCATCAATTAAACAGAAATGAATGACTACACATATAAAGTCTGTCTAATCTGACTTAATATTTGACGACTAGTCTAGTTTTGAGCTATTCTTAGATGTCTGTTAGATTTTCACTGAAAGCCAATGTTTAACCTTGTTTTGGTCAAGCTGTCTATGTTTAGATGTCTATTAGGCGTCTATTAAACACAAAATTGTATGTATATATATATATATATATATATATATATATATATATATATATATATATTAAGGGTGGAGCCGAACCCGAATACGGTATTCGGAAAGGCACGAATAGCGTGTTTTTACGAATACTTATTTCGAACAAATACTTGAAAAATTATTTGTATTCGGGAGCAAGAAAAGCATTATATCAAAAAGCAGCGTTTCCTCCAGAGACCACAGTGCGTGAGTGAGTGAGTGAGAGAGAGAGAGAGAGAGAGAGAGAGAGAGAGAGAGACGGAGGGCGGGGCGGAGGTAAAAGGTCTCTGGCACACGCTTCTCCACAGCAGCAGACAGAGAAGGCTCGGGTTCCAGATGCAGTTTATAAACTTGTAGCGGAGTTTGTTCGGGATTTTTCATTACGCTGCATTTTTGAAGTTTGCAATCGGGTGCTCTGTTTACGCAACGTTAGCTCTGTTAGCGCGGTAATTTAGACAATAGGCTGTTGACAGAGTAACGTTAACGTTCTTTTATAAAGGTTAAAACGATGCTTTTGCAGTTGTGTCGAATAGTATGCACTTATGGGAGTTATATGGTGCGTCTAAATAACTGTCTTTTGCAGACAGCAAGATATATGCTATAGGCTAGTTAACCTTAGCATAGCTTCCCGTCACTTTTTATTAACTTGAAACTCCTCAAATACATTTGGGCACCATGAAAAAGAGTGAGACTGCTGCTGAGCCATTTCTTAGTCCTCCACCAGTAAAAAAAAAAAAAAAAAAAAAAACTTCATGTTCTTTGTGGAAGCATTTTACAGTCAGTGGTGCTGCATATAAAACAAAGTGATACTGTATAATGTGTGCAAAAGTGAAATCAGCAGAGGCAGAGATATTAAACATCTGTCAACATCTTCTATGCATAATCATTAATTTTCTTTTCGGCTTAGTCCCTTTATCAATCTGGGGTTGCCACGGTGGAATGAACCACCAATTTATCCAGCATATGTTTTACGCAGTGGCTGCCCTTCCAGCTGCTACCCAGCACTAGGAAACATCCATACACTCTCTTTCGCACACATACAATAGGGACAATTTAGCTCACCCAATTCACCTGTATTGCATGTGTTTGGACTGTCGGGGAAACCGGAGCACCCGGAGGAAACCCACGCCAACATGGGGAGAACCCAGTCGAGGCTCGAACCAGCAACCTTCTTGCTGTGAGGCAACAGTGCTACTCACTGTGCCACCGCGCAACCTTCTATGTAATGTATTATCACATGCACTAAAAGCATCCTCTCCTGATACTGTCTGTGAACCCCCCACAAGCATCAATCCCCTCAATCAGCACAGCTATGTTCTGCTAAATCCTCCACAAGCACCAAACCATCAACACAGCCACATTATGCCAGATGACAATATCAGGGCTGTATCTTTTAGTATTATATAGAATACTTTTGTTCTGCCAGATCTCCCAGGCAGGGTTTTATTTAGATTTATTTTGTTAATATTATAGTTTTTGGAATTCTGTGCATTGGAAAGAAGTTCTTTCAGAAGAAGAACAGTTTTTTGAAGTATTATTTGTTTTTATTCTGTCTATTCAGTGTCCTTCAACAAGAACGGTGGTGGTGGGGTTCATAATATTCACAATGGTATTTTATTAGTTGTTGGTTTAACCATGGAAAGATAATGGCTTCTATGTTATTTTCTTTTCAATGACATTTCTTGTCACATGTTCAAAAACAACAACCAATATTGCATGTCTATAATTTATATAATGGGTATAATTAAACAATACTTTCACTATAACGTAAATTAGAAGTGTAATAGAAAAAAATATATATTTTTGCGCCATTTTGAATTTTACTCGAATACAAATACAAATACAAATACTTTTCCCCCTCAACAAATACAAATACAAATACCGGCTGCTCCGCACATCCCTAATATATATATATATATATATATATATATATATATATATATATATATATACATATATATATATATATATATATATATATATATATTTTTTTTTTTTTTTTTTTTTTTTTTTTTTTTTTTTTTTAGGATAATTGGGGTGATTATTGTACGTATGTGTGATGTGTAGAGTTTGACTACATCTTGAGCTCTCATGTATTTCTTGGGTGACCTGATGAAGACCATGTAGGTTGAAACGTTGTCCAATTAAATTTGTCTTTTGAGAGCTAAAGTGAGAGTGTGCCTATTATTTTTAAAATTTTTCTATTGTGTTTGTTTTAATGAAGTACCTGCCTTTAAGATTTTGCTAGATGTGCGCACACTGATGTGTTTCGTAGATTATATGTTCACACATTTTGATACTACTTAATTTATCATCCCCTCCATCTTTACTCTTCATTTAATCAACTTGCGTATCCAAACAATATACGCACTTGTGAGATTTCTTCATGTTTCCGCCGTCAGGTCCCTCTCCACAGTCGTAGGCCTGGATGGTGAAGGTATGCTCTTTCTGCAGCTCACAATCTAGTTTATCCTTGGCCCGGATCACGCCTTCCCCAGTGGACTTATCCAACACCACCGCCTCGAAAGGCACATTCTGCCCGTGAATCCTGAAGCCGCAGATCTCTCCTGCAAACGGACACATGCATGTTTAGTCAAGCCCACCTGCGAACCAAAGCAACCAGATGCTGCAAAATGAAACCCACAATGAAACCAATAACACGCCACACTCAAATAAGAACAGCCAAAGTTGGTTTGGCAGCCAAAAAGGATTGAAAAACACTGAGGGGAGGTGGAGGTGGAGGTGTCTGTGGAGGAAGCCAGAAGCACTGTGGGATGGGGTGAGTTTTTTTTTTAGGAAGTGGAAGGGAGAGTTAAGGGAGGGGTATACTAAGTGTCTGGCCCAAGCCATTTGATCACATTGCATCCATTCATGCAGTAAGAAACCCAGAATGCGGACAGGCATTTCACAGGAATACTTAATATACAAACACAGAAAGGAAATGATATGAACCAATGAACAGTTATAATTAAAGTAGTATTTAAAGGGTTAGTTCATCCCAAAATTAAAATGTGCATTTGCTCACCTTCACATCAGTTCAAACCCATAAGAAAACACAAATAAAAATATTTTTAATGAAATATGACAGATTTCGCTTTATATAAACCATTTTAAGGTCAATATTATTAGCCTCTTTGAGCTACATAATTTTTTTTTAATTGTCTACAGAATAATTATACAAGTTATACATTAACTTGCCTAATTACCCTAACCTGCCTAGTTATCCTAATTAACCTAGTGCTGACATAAATTATGCCATTGAATAAGCATATAAAACAAAGAAAAACAGGAATTGAGTGGCCAATATCATCTGCTGTGTATTCAAGCCTATCAGAATGCAGTTAGAAGCCCTTATAATTCATGGTATGAAATCAAAAAGTTATGTTTTTAGATCTAGATTTATATCATATAGTTAAGTAATATTACATAGGCAAGAGTGCCATATTCAATTATTATATTTGTTGCTGTAAAAATGCATCTGAAGTGGTTCAACCAGCTCAAAAAAATTCAAGAAGTGCATCTTAAAGGGTTAAAAATATGCTAATATTTTAATTTGAAGAAATTATGTTTTTTAGATATAGATTCATATGATATAGTTACATAATACTACGCAAGCAAAAGTGCTGTTTTCTATCATTTTAACCAGCAGAAATGAACCATCTTTTAACCTTCATTAAATTTAACTGATATATACTTTTACTTTTTATTTTACACTCTCTGAACGTTTCGAAACATCAGAAATCAAAGGAACAGAAATCAGATTTCTTTCAAAACATCTTCATTTGTATTATGATGATTAACAAAAACCTTATGGGTTTGGAATGAAATGATAGCAAGTAAATGACGGCACATCATCCATTCAGGTGTGAACTAACCCTTCATAGATCTTTAATGCTGAATTTTGGTTAAAAGTAACACAGTTAAACAGGACAGCAAGGTTAAAATGTTAAGTTACTCATGGGGCGATGAGGAGGATTTATGACAGAGATCCAGCATCCTATCAGAAATTCTCAAATTAAAGCAAATATACAAAAACAAAAACAAGCAAATAACCCTCGTTTGGAGATTGTTATTCCTATTAAAGCTAGATTTTGGTGTGAAGGAAGTCTTCCTGTGCAATGTTGTCACTCAAACCTTCAAAAAAATAAAAATAAAAAAACTGAAAGGATGAAACAATAAAAGAAAACAAAGAGGAGCAGAGGCAGTGAAACTTAAAGGCTGGATGAGAGCCGGGGTTAGAAATATCCATTAGCTTGACATCCACATCTACCAGCAGTATAGTTGCCATGCTGTGTTTTTCAGATTAGTGTAGAAAAGAGGCTCAAACTAGAGATCAAACCACACCACAGACCAGACAGCAGAGAGTTTGCATCATTTAACAATCTCAGCGTTTTCATTTTGGAGCAAGAACTCAACTTGAAATGGGTTGCGCTAAAAACAACCGCTCGAAAGATATCTAAAAAAAACACACTTTTAAGACATCGGGATTTGCGTTGCCCCCCTGAAAATCTGGTGCATCATTTATTTATTCTGATAAATAATATATAAATTATAATATTAATATTACTGATAAATTATATATTATCATTTATTTATACCATTTATTTATTCTGTTTTGCAGCTGAAATACTGTTAGGGTCTGCAAACTTCAATGGATGTCTCATGCATAGATATTTCTAGATTCTGTTATCCCCACAAACACACTTGTCATCCAGTTGCTGAATTTTCATTTCCAACTAATTCAAAAGTGAGAGAGAAAAATAACGAAAGACCAAAAGAAAAGAAAAAGAAGAACTGGGATTAAAAGAGCATGACAGGAGTTTCCGTGTGAAGTGCCGATTTCTTTTTTTTTTTTTTTTTTTTTGCGTTAGTGGGTTAATCAAACAGATTACAAGGCAGTAGAAAGAGCCTGTCATCACCTTCTTTGGTGAAGGTCACCTCAAAACTCTCTACAAGAAGGGAGAAAAGATAAACCCAGGTCAGTCAGAGAAAGAATGAGATGCACAGAAACACAGAGACAAGAAAGAGAGAAGACAGATGTTACAGAAGCAGTCCAGGACTCAGAATACCTTATACTTGACTTGTTTTTTTTTTCAATTGGTACAGATTTTAGGGCTGGATGATATACTTTTAATAGCACCTACACGTTTCAGCCTCAATTGCCTTCATCAGGGCATCTACTCTGCCGAAACACATATAGGTGCGGCTTTATAGAATAGCCATGTTATTAAAGGCTTTTTACTTATATTTTTACTACTTTTGGAATGCCTTGGACTTATGATTTCATTCTTTTATCCTTTTGAATCCCTTATCCAAAGAGCACTGACACATTATTTACCCATGAAGCACTTTTGGTTTGATTTTGGATTGATATACTTTGAGTATTTAGAATCATTTTGCTGTGATATAAAATTAAACAACACTGTGAATGCATAAATGACTAAGTGCTTTTTACTTGGCCGTTAAGCTTCCTAAAAAGCATTGAAAAAGACAGGATTTAACAGTGAATGTATTAACATGTATTAACAGTGAATTTCAGTTAATTTATTTAAAATGCAACAATACTAAAATAATCAAATATTGTAAATATAAATTAATGTTATAGAGATGAAAATAGATAAATAGATATGTTTATCCAGACGACTCATAATCCAAACCAATATAAAAGTTTCTTTCAGAATGTCTAACACAGTTAATAAAAATAAAATAGGATGGTAACACTTTATTTTGATGGTTTACTTTAGTATCAGTAGACTGTCTGTTTAATATCTGTTAATTCTGCTCCTTCAACAGACATTTAACTGACTATAAGAAACTTTGCAAGTACAAGTCAACTTACACTAACCCCAACCCCAATCTAACAGTCTACTTATAATCTAATGAAAATTAGTTGGCATGTAGATGCAATGTAACTTATATTTAACAAACGGACCCTCAAAATAAAGTGTGACCAATAAAATTAAATAAATCAAAAATTTAATTAAGTTTTAAAAATTGTTCAGAGAAAAAATATAATAATTAACAGTTAGGTTAAATTACAATTAAAATAAATTACAATTAAAATAATTTGCGCCAGTAATAAAATGTACAAATATTAAGTAAATACTGATGATTAACAATTGCCTAGAGTTTTTTTTAACCAAGACATAAAAAACATTGCTGTGTAACAAAGTAAAGTCTATAGTCTAAATAATTAAATAAATAACTGAATAAATGATTAATTAATTAATTTGAAAAATGAATAGAAATAAATGGATAAATTAATTAGAAAAATAAAGACAATAAAATAATTAAACAAGCTTTTAAAGATGTTATTATTCAGTAACTTCTATTATTGAAAATAAAAATTAAGTAATTATTGAAAATTAATATTAAATAACTTAAATGCACAAATTCTGAACTATTCTGAACTATTTATAATGAATATAACTAAGAAAAAGAGGGAATTGTTTTTTGGGGGGAAGGTGGGCTATATTAGCTAGGCTTATAGCACAAATCGCTTAAACCTCATTGAAATTGCACATGTGTGGCACCTTCTGTACTGCAATGAGAAAATACACATCTGTACATCTGCTCGTGTTAAAGGTATTCTGAGCCCTGTATGACTGCCAACAGCACAAATATACTCTGATGAGTCCACATTAACAGGCACAGAAACACCAAAAAACAGGCTCGACCACATAAGCAAATAACCATAGCTTCCCTGTTAGGGTTAAAATACTGAATGGTGCAACTGTATGAAACAATAAAGGTTAGCCAAAAAAAAAAATGCTTGAGAGTACAATCTTTTATCATAACCTGACTAAAACTAGAAGTTTAGGCTTTTTTCCTTTGGGTTCTTTTCTGCTTGGCTAGCCACTAACTCCAGTTTGACCCTATCTGTGGCCCCGTCCACCCCGTTTTTACCCATACAATTAGAGATGGATTTTCCATTAGGATCTGCTGTTCAGAGCAAGTCATGCGGAGGAAGCTTTGTGCCTCATCAGTGCATTCTGAGGCTTTAATGACTGTACATCCCGAACACTCCTCCCGAAAACCCAGACCGGTGCCAACCAAGTGCCAACTCCAATCGCCCTCCATTTCCCATCAGGCGAAACACAATGAATATTGATCCTTTCCTTCAGACTGCTATATTGTGCGGAGGAATCGATGAAGACGTAACAATAGCTGAGACAAGAAACAAGGCTAGCGGAGGGGCTTAATTGTTTATTTGATTTGCTTCTGCTTTTTTACCTAGTTTTAGCTGTCTGAAGAAGTTTATGGACAATGGGTGAATGGAAAATATTGAAACTGACGTTAAGCTGGCACTGGACGGCCCTCCACTGATGGGACTGACTGTAAGAGCTCTCTAAAGACTACATCATGTCTGCGGTGGAAATCGATAACTGGAGCTGCTTTATGAAAGGCCAGCAGAACATCAATCATGATGCCATGTGCCTGCAACTAATAGGACACTGTGACCTTTGAACTAAACATTTACATCTTTACATATAGACTCCATGCACTAATATTTTCTTGATAAAATCCTCAAAACATTTTGCACAAAACTTAATAATAGTCAAATTAGTTTGTAGATATTAAGTGAAATTGACTAAATGCTTAATTTAAGTAAATGAAGTAAAAGTTAATTGATTATTTTAAATTTTAAGTTAGATTTATTTAAATTAATCAAGTGAAATTAAGTTGTTATTTTTTTAGATTTAGTTTTTGGCATTTTGGCTTTTTGACAGAACAAATATATAGACAGGAAGGGACGTTGGAAAAAGAGAGAAAGTGGGGGAATGAGATCAAGAAACGTTTATAAGCTGGGACTCGAACTCAGGACGACTGAAGTGTCTTAGCTCTATATGTCAAAGCACTGCCTACTAGACTATCAGCGCTGACATGTTAAAATCATATTAGTTACAAGTTAGTAGATTTTTTATTGTTTTTGCTGACCACATTAATATTGTTCTATTAACATTTACTTCATATTACTATATTCATTTGTAATGATTAGAAAAAATTTGAACCAGTCAAGTAAATGAAGGCTAATATTTAACAAAACAAAACTGGTTTACTATTCTGAGATCAACTCATTTGTTAAGTGGTGAGATAAAAACTTTTTAAAAGTAAACATAAAAAAACAGAGGAGTAATAATTTTCATTTTTTCGATGCTAAATGTGTTGTCAATCATATGCCAGTGTTTATACATAATCACACTGTAAAAAAAATGTCCTGTACTTGAAAATATGTTACAGAAAATAACATTAGTATCACTTTACAACATTTAAAAATTCACAGTAATGTGTTGTATTCAAAGTTTTATTGTAAAATTATGGCAGGTCGCATGGTTACAGCAGAGTACTGTAAAAAGGGCTAAATCTTTTGCATGTTCGTTATAGGAATTTAAACTCTTTTTATTTCATTTAACATAGATATTAATACAAATGAACTTTAATGCCAGTATTGGTATTTTTAATATTTAGAAATAAAGTTTTTGCAGCTCCAAAAACAATTCGGTTACATCTTCAAAAAAAAACTTTAAAAAAAAGAAAATCATCCTGTTTTGAGACAACATGAATGTCACAATAAATTTAATTAGGTAAATTTTGCTATGTAAATTTAAATTGGGTGCACTGCACCTTTATTTAGTCTTATAAGGTTAACATGGAAATAATAAATACATTTAAATGAACAGCCAAAAACATAATAAACTGGAACAAAAGCAACTGATTCAGGAAATCAAACACTTATAAACACCCAAAATAATTTCAAAGTCAGCTTAATATCAGAATGAATAGCCGAGGAAAGCCTGCTTCACAGTAAAATAGTTAAGTTCTAAAAGATTATGCTGTGAAATCACAGTAATGGACTTATCTACTGTAACGTTAAACTATAAGGTTGTGATTTCACTGTAATTTAATGTAACAAAATCACAGTAAATTACTGTGTATGATAATTTGCTGTAAATTTACATACAGTATTTTACTGTGAAAGTATTGCAATTATTAGACAGTAATTTTTTTTTTACAGTGCAGGAAATTCTTTAGGTGTACTTGTATAAGCTTTTAGTAGTGCACAAAGATATTTCTCTTACAATGAGAGACTCATGTAAATTGGATCTGTGAAAAATTCCACCAAAGGCTTTATTTTTTGTGCAGATTGCTGTTGATAATAAAATCATGTTTTTTTCGCATCAGTCCGTATTCAAGAGCATTATCAGGTATGGTTTTGATCCACATTGTTTTGTAATTTTTATGTACATTTGCAATAAAAAATATTTAATATTGTCAGAACTGCTATGAAAAGTATAGGTCTACAAACCTTTATCAGCCCTTAGAATCTAAACAAGCAATGCACTTTGAATGAAGCAAAATAATTTCTGAGCAATCCATCTCATGTTCTCTTCTCATGTTATGATCTTTCCCTCTGGCAGAAAATACAGAATCTCTTGATGCAAGCGGAATATGCTCAAAAACTCTTATTCCAGTCAATCAGACTGTTGAACACTAATCAGTAATTCTTTACTGTCTCAGGCTATGCTAAAATACTCATCCACAAAAACAATTCTTCAAAAAACTCCCCTTCATTCATTACACAAAGTAAATGTTTAATTATTTAAGTGTTTTACTTAGGAAGGTTGAGTTACTATTACAATAAAAAAGTGACAGTAAATGTTTTAGAAATTACCACACCAAAAATAGATATATTTTTATTATAGAAAAGTATTTTTCAAAAGTTATTTATCATGCAGTAAGTAATGTTGATTTGATTCTGAAATTAGTCGTCAGCAATTCCAGTTTGACTTCTGTAACTGATCTATGTAGATTCACAACCCGTTTGCATAATGCCAGCCTACGGTCTTTATTGACTGACTCCAAACAACTTCTACTCTGACCCCTCTAAAAGTCAGAAAGCATTTACTTCTGAGAGAAAAACTTTCTTGTGCAACTTTTGCACTTTCAC